AGAGAGAGAGAGAGAGAGAGAGAGAAAGAGAGAGAGAGAGAGAGAGAGAGAGAGAGAGAGAGAGAGAGAGAGAGAGAGAGTAAGAGAGAGAGAGGCCCTCACCTTCAGCGGGGTCACGAGAAGAGTTGGTACACGGCCGCGAGGCAGAGTGCTACTACTAAGTAGTAGGCAATGGTGCCAGAAGGAGGTAGTGCCGGAGGGTGCAGCGCTACGTGAAGGGCTAGTGAATGTGGACAGGAAATGGTCTACGTGAAGGGCAAGTGAATGTGGACAGGAAACGGCGCCGAGTGCATGAGCGGTGAGGTAGGGAGAGAGGGGGAACAGGAAGGATGAGGCAGAAGGACCAATGAGCGTTGGGGCTATGGAGCGAGACGGTGAAGGAGAGGCTACGAGGAAAGGGGAAAGAGGGGAGTGGATCTGGCATGGATCTGCGCCAGGTGCATTTGAAGGAGGGGCTGGTGTGGAAGGCGAAGGTGGCGACGGGTTGTGACGGAGGGGAGAGTTCATAGTATCCTTGATTCTCAGCGGACTCCGGCGAAGAGAGAGCTGAGACTACGGCTCTAAGGAGGAGGGGCGAATTCAGTGAAGGTGTTGGTTTGGCTGCTAGAGTGGTAATATGGGAGTTAAGTAGAGGAGACTGTGCGCGGAGTACCGGGGGGGAGAAAAGAGGGAGTAAGTTTTTTTATCTCGGACGTTCGGTCGTCGTTTTGAGCAAGCCAGGACTCTAAACAGGGGTTTTTTTATATGGCGAATCCGTCTGTCGTGTCGGATTTTGGATTTAGTAGGTCATGTGGCCGGTATGTGGGGTGAATATTGCACGGGGAGATGAACCTGGTCGCGTTCCAACGAGAGATTCCTCCTCATTTGTCCATCTTCTTTTTTTGCTTTTTATATATACATATATATGTTTTTTTTATTATTTTCATTTTGGCATACTAGGTGAGTAGGAGGCGGGACTGTGGCTGCACGCCATCACCCTCACCTTCTACAAGGAGAGCGGGCTTCTTCTAACTGGTAGAGCGGGGCCCGGTTGCCTGGCTAGAACGGCAGTCTTCTCTAGACAGGTGAACAAGGGCAAGGAGTTGGCCAGGTACATTGAGTAGCGAGGAGGAAGTATGAGAGGTGGAAAAGGGTAGGGGCGAGTGGGAAAAAGACACGGGTTACTTGCTATAACTGACGGTATATCTTCCCATCTGCAAGCCAAAGATCCATTCCTTGTTTCCGCCCACAGTGTAATGAACAGAACACAGGATTGGGCCCACAGTCACATAGACATAGTTGGTCTCCGAGTTCATCCGTTGTCATACATAGTTTAGCTGGGTCCTACCGGTACCGCAGACTGGGTCATTGCTTGGTTACCGTCGTAGCCTCGCCGCTTAGATTGGAGCAGTGGCGGATTGGGGGTGATGCAGAACTGTGGGCGCTGCCGGGAGTGGTACTCACCGGGCAAAAACAGGGAAGAGCTATAGGCGGACCTGGTCTGAGCTGCGAGACCACGTTCTGGGTTGATGAGCATAGGTCACCTGCTGCTGAAGCTGCCAGGAAGCAGGAACTTACAAGTTACTTTTGGGGAGCCTGCTGCTGTTGAGGTTGACGGCTACAAGCGAGGAGCTGCTCACTGCGTTTGGGGTTGCCACCTATTATGAACTAAGGGACTGATGCAGACTTCGTCAGGTACGGACTGATAACCAGATTGGAGTTAAAGTTGGCCAAGCTCTGGCCCTACCAATCCTGAGTTGCCACAGCAAGAGGACCGACCGAGTTGCGAGCCTAGCAAGGTTGGGGCAGCAGTTGCCCTTCGAAGGCCTGCGCTGCACGTTCCAGAGTACAGCTACAGATCTGGCCTGGGCTGGCTGTTGAAGTGGGTGGTGTTACACCCAAGCGCTTGACCATGTAGGAACAACATGCACTAGTGCGTAGTGACGTCCTACACGGGGGGGTGCGGGGCTCTGTTGAGTCTGAGGAAAAGCACCCCGCTAGATATTCAAAACGGCAGTTACCTCTTTCACTGAGACTCTGCTGCTGTTGTGCGTGGAGCAGTGATGGTCGGTGAGTTGCCAGGGGCTAGCACCATGCTCTCATGAAGTGGCAGCCGTCTGGCTCAGTGTCTACTCGGCGAGTTGCTGATGCTGCCATGAGTGGCACGTTGCGCTTCCGGTGCCTTCCTTGCAGATCTGTGCCTCCGGGCTTTGGGCCAGGACTATAAGCTTCGAGTATGACCGTTAGCAAGGATGTTGATATGGGACGCTGCTGACTACGGGCAAGTGCTGGTTGGTGCAGACCGCTGCGCGTCACGCTGTGCTGGGCAACCGCCGGGCCAACCAGCCGTGGCTGTTCCTACCCCGCTGTAGCCGCCTTGGAGCTATATTACCGAGCTAACTGCGGACTGCTGCTGTGCTTATCGAGCGCTGCTACTACGGTGACTGTATCACTACTCTCTAGGGACTGCAGTTGCGGGCTGTGGATTGGTGGAACTCATACTGGGTTGTTGTGGGACTGCTACTGCAGACAGATACTGCTGCTGCGGAGGACTGGGCTCGGACTACTACTACTGACTTCGCTATAGGCTGTTGGTGCTGCGTTAGTGGATTGTGTAAGGGCTGCGGTCGCTGTGGATAATTGTTGTTGCATGTTGGCGGACGGTTACTGTCGCTGTTGACCAGGCTGCGTATTGCTACGGGCTGCTACAGGCCGCACAATCCGCTGCTGCCTGCTGTGGCAGACTACCGCTGCCTGATGTAACGAGTTGTTGTCTCCGGTTGAGCGCCACATGCTGTTGCACACTGCTGTCGACTGAGTGTTGGGGAGGCAAGCAGGCTGGACAAGTAGGGGGATGGGGCTGCGAGTTGGGAGTTCATCAGGAGGCGCTACTCCGGCAGTTTGAGCTTGTTGACCAAGCTGTCAGTTGGCTGCCACTGCGGGGCCCTCAGGCGCATCAAGACAACGAGGCCCTCTCCAGTGAGATTGAGAGCACCTCCCCTGTATCTCGAGAGACTGAACATTTATGCTTCTATCCTTCTTACTCCCAGTCTACTCTGTGGTTACGAGACGAAGGCGACAGGCGGGATTGCAACCCGTAGGTCCACGCAAAGGCCTCTATGGGAGGTTGCCCCACCGATTGCGGGAGCTCTGCCGGAGCCCAGGCGGGGTTCTGGAGGCAGGGAGCCTCAGGTATAATCTCGTTAACCTGTGTGATCCCCTCCCTTACTTATTATCCCTTGGGTATCTGAATATGTACATGTAAGGATACTACTTTTTGTTTTGCTACGTATGCCAGGACATGTTTTGCAGAAGGCTAAATG